AAAGATGGAGAAAGATAGAGAAGTCAAGATCAAATGTGTGGTACAGTTGGATAAAAAGAAAAGGGAATCCGGGATATTTGAAAAAAGGTTGGAAAGAAAAGAGATGGCAGAGGGTAGCGAGGTTCAGACTAGGAGAAGAGATAAGAAGCAATAGATATTGGGAAGAAGAGGAGAATAGGAAGTGCAGGGTATGTGGAAGGGAAGAGGAAACATGGGAACACATTTGGGAGGAATGTACGGATTGGGGAAGAGAGAAGGGTTGGAGAGATATGGTAGAGGAAGTTTTAGGAGAGGAAGGAGGAGGTGAGGAATGGATGAGGAAAATAGAGGAATGGAGAGGGATGGGAATAGTAGGGGAGGGGGAGGAGTGTGAGAAGAGTGAAAGTGAAGAAGGCGGCGGAAACGGAGGTCCCAGGTATGAATGAATGAATGGATGAGAGAATGATTGAGTGCGTTTCTCTCTCTCGCGAGCGTGCGAAAAAGGCGGCTAAATATGTAAGCGGAGCGGAGGTCCGCAATGTACCCCGCAAGGGAATAAAGATACATACATACATACATACATATATATATATCAAATGATATACAATAATTAGTATTATTTGTTCAGGTAATACAAAATTATTTCTCAATGTTAATTACTCTTCTGTTTTGATGTATAAGATTTCTTATAAAAATCATAAAATAGATAAAGAAATATAAATATATTTACAGCAAATAGTAACACTACTCCTCTTGGCACTTCGCAAGTGAGAAACTGCAGTAGAAAATATAAGAAGCTCAAAAATTGTACCTAAAATTTCACAAATAAGTAAAGATATTAGAAACAAAATATTACAAACTTGTAATGGGCTATGTAGATGCATATTGAAGAAAAATACGTTTTAGATTAAAAGTGACGAGAATGTCACCTGAGTAATTTAATTATAAAATATTGTATTGATACTTGTCATCTGTAGGATAGTTGTAAATGGTTTAATGGGAAACATCATCCGTTGGAGATTCGGACTCCATGCAGAGATGAAATAGTATATGTACATGATTACATGCACAATACAATTGACTCTTGTGAAATACGCAGTTCTTACGTCCATAAAGTATTTCAAATTAAAGCTTACACATGCTACATTAGATATATGATGATACACGTGTAAAGCAGAGACTTGGTTTCGTTTCTTCCTCAACACAAATATGCACGTTTCGATGTAATCAAATATTTTCAATAAGAGTCCATACCATCCTGTTTTATGCAACTGAAATATAAATTATATACATATATATATACATATACATAATATATACAGGGTGTCAGACTCGTTTGTAGCCAAAATAAAAATTACGGTAGATTGGGTTAAACTGAGAAGAAAAAACGTCGCTCGTCACTCGATGCGTGACTTCACCTCTCGCTACCGCGTCCTAGGAGATATGAACAAATCCCCCCGTGTGGGCCACCTTGTCGTGGTAGGGGGGCTTAAGGCGGGCACTCCGGAGTAGCTAACCGGGGTGTCCGCTGAACTAAGAGCCCACTTAATCGGCCGGAAACGGCCGGGCCGAACATCGGCCAGGGATGGAGGACGGGTCGGAGCCCCCGTGCCTGGGGATGGTGTCCTCTTAAGGACTCGCATCTTGGCACGGGGGCTGATCCGCCCTATTGGCAGAGGCGGCAGCACCTGGGTGCATCGCACCCCAGCGTGCCTGGGTAGGGACGCTACCGGGGGTGGAGCCCCCGTTGTTAGTGTCGGAGCCGGTGTAGGCCTCCCGCCTCAAAAAAGGGGGGCGGGGGAGCGAGGGGCGAGGCGTAGCCCCCTCGAGAGCGGGGGACGCTGAGAAGCGTCGGAGCTGGGGTAGGTCCCCCGCCTAAAAAAGGTGGGACGGGGGAAAGAGGGGTGAGGCGACAGCCCCCCTCGAGCGAGGGTTGACCCGGCCCGTCGGCGCGGTGTGGTGAGAGTTGAGCGTTTTTGCTCCTCCGCCGCGCCGGTCGGGA